AGAGGCATTGCACGTAGCACAGCTTGTGCAGTTAGTAACAGGAAACAACTCAGATGACTCCAGCTAACCAACAGAGGTCAGGGTCCAGGGTGTCCACCTAGTCCAATGTAGCTGAGTCATCTACGCTCAGACCCTTCCATGGCCACAAGTCCTTAAAGGGGATTCTGAGGCATAAGCAGGTCTGTCTTTGGCCAGGTAGAGCCAAAGTGCTTCAATACAGGACAAGGATGGTCTTTGTGCATATGCCACCTCAAAAATCATCAAATCTGGCCAGGCGCAGTGACTCATACCTGTAATCCCAGAACTTTGGGAGGCTGAGGTGGGTGGATCACCTGAGGTTAGGAGTTTGAGAACAGCCTGGCCAACATGGTGAAACCCCATCTCTACAAAAAAATACAAAAATTAGCCGGATGTGGTGGCGGGCACCTGTAATCCCAACTACTTGGGAGGCTGAGGCTGGAGAATCACTTGAACCTGGGAGGCGGAGGTTGCAGTGAGCCGAGATCACACCATTGCACTCCAGCCTGGGCAACAAGAGCAAAACTCCAACTCAAAGAAAAAAATATCATAAAATGAAAATGTTGCAGGAGTGGTACGACACAGTGCAAGTCAAGGGCTCCTGGGGCATTGTTTCCTTTCAGGGTCAGGGGGCTTCTTATGCAAAATCCACACCTGTGTTACTATGAAAAAAGAACATTTTTTTCTACATCAACCCAGAGATAATGATTAATTATAAAGAAAGAATGAATAAGGCTATGAACTGATTCCTTATGAATCCAGGTTTCTTCCTACATGAGGACTCTAGAAATTTTATCTTAGATACTTCCATTTTGCAGATAAGGAAACCATAGTTAAGATATATTTAAATAGCTTTTCTTTGATATGAGTGAAGTACTAGTGAGGTTTGATTCTAGTTTCATTTACTTAAAAACATTATCCAAGTGCAATATAAAGGGTGTTTATTATAATTGATAAGACAGTGGTGACATGGCAGAAATGGATACATTTGCTTTAAAACAATAAAATGAGATTCCCCTTTCTAAAGAAAATGTTCAAAATTGCCTAAACTTAAATATAATACAGAACTCAAAAGAATTCCTTTAGACCCTGTACTATATGGGAAATAAATTCTATGACAGGTAATAATAAAATAATACATTGGTCTAAGTCAACACTTCATGTGTTGCAGGCAAGTTGAGTCCCTCAGGCTCTATAATGGCCATTCCAAGACCCAGAACCATGTAGAATGTTAACTGAGGACCTTCTCCCTTTGCAACACTTCTCCATTTAGTCCATGTTTGAATCTAAACCAGAGGATTTTAAAGTGTAGTTCCAGGACTGGCAGCCTCAACATTACCAGCACCATGAGGGAAATTGTTAGACAAGCAAATTCTTGGGTCACTATTGAATCAGAAACTCAATGGACAGGACCTGGGAACTTGATTTAACAAGCTCTCTAGATGATTCTGATGCACCCTGCTCTAACCATTGAGAACTACTGCTGTAAACATTGCGATGGCAAGGTCTCAGGCCCAACAAGGCCCACAGTATGACTCTCAGGCCCTGGTGGTGAACATGCTTGAATGAGATTGGTCTGTGAAAATGAAATCTGGCTCCATGTTGCTGAGGTCAATGCAGTGTGTGCATGAACACATTTCCATGGATATGTAAACCATTAATGCCAAGATAGTTTACTACTAATGAAACAACATTAGAGTGTCTTAGTCCATTTTGTGCTGCTATACTAGAATATGACAGATTGGGCAATTTACAATGAAAAGAAATTTATTTCTCACAGTTCTGGGGGCTCAGAAGTCCAAGATTGAATGGCTGGCATCTGGTGAGGGCCATCTTGCTGCATCATCTTATGGCATAAGACAAGAGGGCCAGAGAAAGCGAGAGTGAGAAAAGGTGGCTGAACTTATCCTTTTATAAGGAACCTACTCCTGCAATAAAGGCATTAGTCCATTCATGAAGGCAGAGCCCTCATGACCTAACTGCCTCTCATTAGGCCCCACCTCCCAACACTGTTGTATTGAGTATTATGTTTCCAACACATGAACTTTGGGGGACACTCGAACCACAGCATTCTGCCCTGGCTCCAAATTCATGTTTTTCTCACACATAAAACATATTCATTCCATCCCAATTGCTCCAAATTCTTAACTTGTTCTGGTGAAAGTCTAGGGTCTCATCTAAATCAGATATGGGTGAGACTCAAGGCATAATTCATCCTGAGGCAAATTCCCCTCTAGCTGTGAGCCTGTGAAATTAACAAGTTCTCTTCCTCCAAAATACAATGATCGGTCAGGCAGAGGATAGACATTCCCATACCAAAAGGGAGAAATAGGCAAGAAGAAAGGAGTAACAGGCCCCAAACAAGTCTAAAACTCGACAAGGTAAACAATACTAAATTCTAAGACTTGAGGATAATCTTCTTTGACTCCATGTCCTACTTTCTGGGCATACTGATGTAGGGTTTGGAACCCTGAGGCCTCAGGAACAGCCTTGCCCCCATGGCTTTGCTAGGCTTAGCCCACATAATTCTCACAGGTTGGAATCTCATGTCCATATCTCTTAGGCTCGAGTTGCATGCTGCATGCCCATAGCTCTCCTGGGCTGGAGTTGCATGCTGGTAGTTGTATAGTTCTAGGACTTGGGGGCATCCCCACCCTGAAGGACTCCCCTAGGCCTAGTGAGGACTCTCTGCTATGGCCGTGACTCCACACTTCTGCTGGGCATTGTCCTCCTAGGCGCTCTCTGTGGCAGCTGTACCCCAAGACAAATCTTTGCCTAGGCCCTCTGGTTGTCCGCAACACCCTTTGAAATCTAAGTGGAGGCTGCCATGCCCTCACAGCATGTGCCTACAGAATTAGCGCCACCAAAGTTTAGAGCTTGTACCTTTCAGAGCAGCAGGTTGAGCTGCACCTGGGCTCCCTGGAGCCACAGCTGAAGCATCCAAGGAGAGTGATGCTGGAATTCAAGGAGCAGAGTCCTGAGGTGGCTCTGCTCACTGGTCCTGTGTAGAGCACACTGGGGAGTCACCCCAAACCACTCTGCTCTCCTGGAGCCCTGGGCCTGTGATGAGAGAGGCAGCCTTGAAGGTCACTGAAATGCCTTCAGGGTCATTTTCCTGTTGTCTTGATTACTTGCACCTGGCTTCCTTCTGGCTGTGTTAATCCCCTTTATCAAAGGGTCACTTGGCTGCACCCTTGCAAACCTTTTTATTCTTTACGTAGCCAGGCTGTGAGTTTTGCAAATTTTATATTGCTTCTCTTTTACTTATAAATTCCATCTTTAAATCATTTATCTCTTCTTTCATTTTACTATATACAGTTAAAAGCAGCCATGCAGGTCCTTCAATATATTGCTTAGAAATTTCTTTCACCAGCTATCCTGGTTCATTGCTCTTAAATCTGCCTTCCATAAAGCCCTCCAGCATGGACACAGTTAAGCCAAGTTCTTTCTGACTTTATAATGAGGATGGCCATTACTTCAGTTTCTGATACCTTGTTCCTCATTTCTGTCTGAGACCTCAGGAGAATGGCTTTTACTGTTCATATTTTCACTAATATTCTGACTATGACCCCTTAAGTAATCTCTAAAAAGTTTCAGCCTTTCTCTATAGTTCTTTTCTTCCTCTGAGCCCTAACCAGACTCGTCTTTCATACTCCATTATTACAGCAAGACCAGCTGTTTCTAGCTTGTTCCTTCAAACTCTTCCAGCCTCTGCCCAATTACATAGTTCCAAAGCTGCTTCCCCATTTTCAGGCATTTGTTATAGTAACAGACCCACTTCTTGGTACCAATTTTCTTTCTTAGTCTGTTTTGTGCTGCTATAACAGAATACTACAGACTGGGTAATTTATAATAAACAGCAATGTATTGCCTCATGGTCTGGAGGCTGGAAAGTACAAGACAGAGGGGTTTGCATCTTGCAAGGGCCTTCTTGCTGTGTCATCTCACGGCAGAAGGTGAGAGGGCAGGAGAGAATGAGAGAGAAAACGGGCCCACATTCATATTTTTATAATAAACCCACTCCCACAAAATTAATGGCATTAATCTATTCACAAGGGCAGAGCCCTTATGGCCAAATCACCTCTTATTAGGCCCCACCTCCCAGCACTGTTGCATTGGGGATTACATCTCCAACACAAGAACTTTGGGGGATACCTTCAAACCATAGCAGACAGCCTAAACCATTTCTTTTGGCTATTCCTAATCCTTCTTTTCTTGGACTATTGGCAGAAGTTGTTCATGCATGAAAGGAAAACTGGTTTACTGAAACCAGGATTTCTCAGTCTTGGCAACATTGACATTTTAGGCCAGAAAATTTTTGTTGTAGGGAGCTGTTCTGCATTGGAGGATGTTTACCAGCATCCCTGGCCTCTATCCACCAGGTGCCAGTAGCAACTCCCCTCCCCATCTACACCCCGCACAAGTCTTGACAGTCAAAAATGTTTCCAGACATTGCCAAATGTCTCCTGGTAGTGAAATTGCAGCTGGTTGAGAACCACTGACTTAAACCAAGGCAGTTCCTTCAAAGTGGTAACCAAGGGAGAATGTGTCCTGGAAAAAAATAGTCAAGCTGATACAAGCTGGAGCAGGCTCCCAGCAGCTACAGGGGTGACTCACATTGTAGGATCGACCATGCCTCTGTCTCCACTGAACCAGCACTATCTGGGCAATGACCAGAATGCAGAGGAAGATCAAGATCATTTCCACGTGCATGGATTCGTGGCCCCGGTGCATCTTGTACATCCTCTCCTGCTGCAGGCTGGAACCGGCAAATGAGGTCATCTGATAAAGCCCTCAACCTTGTGCATTTAGCCAAAAAACAACAACAAAAAAAACAACCAACAAAAAAACAACAACAACAAACAAAAACAAAACAAAACAAAAAAACGGGTTTGGCTCACAAAAAGCAACAGGGGGTTTCAAAGGTAAGGGTTGGTAAGTTTTGATTGTAAAGTTTTTCTTGGTTTCTTCCCTTTCCCTAGATCTGGAGAAGGAGCAGCTGGGAGGAGGAGCCTGACTCTCTTAGTAAAACTAGTTCCTTTGCTTTCCCATGTGGTTGGCCTCAGCCTTGTCTTTTAAGTTAAGTGATGGGGCTAAAAAAACTAATGAGCCCCAGGAAGACCTGGGTTCCAGTCCCTGATCTGCCACTTCATTGCCTCACAACCTTGGGGAAGTCATTTATCCTCTCTGAGCCTCAGTTTCCTCATTTGCAAATTTCAAATAACCATCCTTCTGTAACTGACAAGGTTGTTGTAAGACTATAAAGCACATGTTATTGTATTTGTATCTACATGAGGAATAATTGTTATTGAGCTGCATCATATGAAACGTCAATTTTTGAAAGTCAAAAACAGTCCAATGTTGGTAATTTTAAATCATTTGCTACTATTCCAAGTAAAAGGATACCCTGCAGATGGTGCTTATGCCAGAGGAGAGAATATTATCCATGGGGCAATGGAAAGCTTTTGAATGAGTTGTATAAATTGTTACAGAACTATTATATAGAGAAAGAATAGGCTTAAGTATTATCTTAGACACGCACAAACATTCCCGTGATGGCTGAACGTTACCGTTTTAGTTGGATGCTTAGTTTTGCACAATTGTAGAGAAAATCAACAAAATACTTTGTCACCTGGTTTTACGTTCTGGAGTAGCCTTGATGAGAACCTAGAGCAGTGGTTCTTGACCTTGTCTGTAAGTTAGGAATCACTGGGAAGCTTTAAAAAAAACCTTAACCCCCCATATCCAGATCAATTAGATGACCATTTCTGGGTGTTAGGGGGCTGAACTGCACCCTCTCGAAATTCATACACTGATGTCCTGGTCCCCTGTACTTCAACATACCAACCCAAACCTGCCAGCACTTTAATCTTGGACTTCAGCCTCTAGAACTGCGAGAAAATAAATTTCTGATTTTTAAGCCACCTATTCTGTGGTATTTTGTTATGGTATTCCTAGCAAATTAATACAGATTTTCAGGATGGGATGTGACATCAGGAATTTTTCAGGCATCCCATGTGATTTTAAGGGGCAGCCAAGATTGAGAACCACGAGCCTAGAGGAAGAGAAAGAGGCCCAGGGTCAAGATGAGTGAACATGGGGAAAAACTATGAATGCTGTCAGTTACTTTCTGAATACTGGTTATCATTATCTTTCATCCCTAGTGTGGCACCATCAGTCACAAAATCTCTTAAAGTTTCCACTTACATCTGGTGACAGTATGCAGTTAGCTAGTGTACCACCCAGGGTAAGTCTGTGCCATGAGATAGTGACCTTTTAAAGGCACTTGATGGGTATGTGGGTTGGGTTCTCTCCCTCTGCCAGCATTTCTACAGCTACTCCAAAGAGCAGTGAATGTTTCAGAAAAGGGTCTCATCCAAATCCCAAGGGTGCCCCCTGCTGGAAAAGGTGTGGAAATCAGCCCACAGAGCCCAGTAAATACTACTGCTGAAGTTCAGTTTCTTTGAGAGGGATTCTCAGAATGTCAGTGCTGGAAGTTACCATAGAAGGAATGAATCTCCTTCATTTATCAAATGACGAAGCTGAAATCCATATCAGGTAAGCAACTTGAATAAAATTACATGGCTATTAGTCTCTGTATTGGAAGCTGAGCTCAGGAGACAAGAATGATTTCTAGAAGCTCATTTAAACAAACAAACAAACAAACAAAAAACCAAACTTGTTCCCCTGAAGAAATGGGAAGAAAAATGAAAAACTACAAGTGCTTAGTTGTGGTTTATACAGCTCCAAATCTAAAATAGCTTTTTAATATTCTGTATAATTAACAGACTTTGAACTTAGGGCATATAGATAAAAGAGTGACTTCATCATCAGTCTAAAATAGGACTTGCATAGATATAAAATACACTTTATGAGATTATTAATGTATTATATCAGATTAATCTATTATAAAAATGCATCTCAAATTGGTTAGCCTATGTTGAAGTACTTTGAAAAGTATATATTGGTATACAAATGTAGTAAGTATTTTCTTTTTTGAGTAGGAATGCATCCAAAATTGACCCCTGTAATACAAAAAAGGAGGAGCTTTTCATTCTTATTTCACTTCATGTGGCGCTCACAGGGCCCAATGGCCCTACAGTATGTACCAGAACACAGGGGCAATGTGTGTAGGAACAAAACCGGTGTATCTTGTGCCTAAAATAAATAGTAACTTGTGCCTAAAATAATAGTAACTTGACACAGCCATATTTTGAAGGATATATTAATCCAGCTTTGTGTGACTGCATGATCTTTTCCTATGGATCATGCTGTAGAAAACAGATGAAATCCATGTGTTTTGGTCTATAGTATTTGTGTATCCTACCCCATCTTCTCTATCCTGGAAAATTTACAAATAAAATTATGACTTCATTCAATTTCTCAACTGTTAAGATAAAAATCTAATTTTTAGCAAAACAACTCTTAAAAAATACTAATTACTTACTTCCACGCATCTTCTGCAGAAAGCTTTGTATGAGAGATCTGAAAAACACAAAAAGGGCCCTTATCAACAAACATCTTTGTTTTCTTGGTTTTTCTGTTAAAACCAAGACCATGTTGAAACTCAGACCATGAAAAATAACAGCATCACATAGTATTTGAATAATTTGGGATAAAAGTTCTAGTAAAATAATTTGCTTACAGAACTAAAACAACATGAAACAAACAAACAAAAAAAGAGTAATCAGGTCACTATTAATAAGTATTTGATCCTGTTCCTGGATCAGAGAATCAGATGAGGCTCTATTTCAATGGTTCTGTTTTGGCAAATCAAAGTTACAGAGAGTGGTCTCCCAACAGGCCATGCTACTCTGGCTTCTAGGATATGAAGTGTGAGTCTGAGCATCCCTAAAAAACATCTGTTTTGCTGATATCTTAAATGATTGCATTGAGTAAATATCTCCAATCTCAGTGAGTAAATATCATTTCCAAGTTCAAAGTTTCAGAGACAGAGCTGACCAGAGGCTCCACTGATTTGGAGCATTCTTACATTCTCCTGCTAAGAAGGCATCATTACTGACCCCAGGAAAGGGAGTAATCTGGGCTTGTTGCCTTACAAATTGAGCTGGAAAGCACAGAGATCATCTCCAGAACTGTGCTTTTTGGATGACCTACAGAGTCCACCTATGGATTACCTTTTCTAGATTATTGCTAACCCACTACATCTGGTCTTTGAAACCTTTAAGGCCAATCATTGGAAAGACATAATCGTGTAACTTTGATGGACAGCACAGAAGAGCAGACAGCCAATGTTTTTGCCCCCAAAGTAGAACTTAGCAGAAAGGGACCTGTGGAACAAAGGAGGAGATTCATGCAGCTTGATTACCTGAGGCTTGCTTCATTCTTGGAACTCAACACTTGAGCCCAGCTGTTGTGACTTCCATTTGAATATTAGGGACCCACCTGGTGGGACCACCTGGGGACAGGGAGCCATTGAGAAGTTGCCAGTATTATCCCCTATGCCATCCCCTTCTTCTTTCCTGGCATCACCCAGAAAGGTCCTGGCATTGTGCAAATACTGCCTAAACGTATACTTTTCTATTTCATCCAAAGCCTTGTTCTCTCTTAAATGTGTGAAAGAAAATCTTAAAAGTACTAGAAGAAAACATGGATAAACATGTTTATAATTCTGCAGTGGAAAAGGCATTTTTAAGTATAATGTAGAGCCCAGAAATTATAAAGTTAAAAAAATGACAGATTTTGAGGACATTTAAAATAAAATGCATTATAGTCCTCAATATTTGAAAGACAAATTGAACTGGGGAAAGCATAACATATGTGAGGGGCAAAAAACTAATAAGCATATGTGAAAAGGGCTTTTATAATTTAATCAAAAAGAGACAGATTGTCCAAAAGGGCAAAGTACATGAATGAGAAATTCACGAATTGAGATACACAAATGACCAATTTACGGAAAGGTGTTTAAACTCACTAGTAATAACTGTGTTTAAAAAAAAAAGTAAAAATGAGGTCTTTTATTGAAACATGTTAAATAAAAAAAGTGCACTTACCTCCTCTCCCTCCCCAAACACCACTAGAACAGTAGCAAAAGGATATAAGCCTCCAAGTCCAAAGAGAATGAGAGAGGAGTCCAGAGCAGCCAATTCTGAAACTACCGGTAGATGGGCCAGCAGAAAGGGACACTGGGACACCATAGGGCAAAAGACACCGAAGCCCACCAGCATGTGGGCAGTGCAGAGCAGAATGTGTGTGCAAATACCCTCAGGAGGGCTGTGGCTTGCAGGGTCCTGGGGTGTCTAGAAGTGGGGGATGCAACTGGGATTAGTAAAAGAAGGTTCACCGAAAGTCAGTTTAAGGTTTGGAGGCCCCCACACTAGCAGAATACTAGTGGTTAAACCAGAGGCACCGGCAGAGAGGCACCAGGCATGTGGAGGGAGAGCAGAGGACACTGGCAGCCCTCATCTGAGTCTAGAGAGCCCTAGCACCATCCTCCCTGGCAGCATCAACTCTAGATCAGGCTGCAGGGGCCCTGCCTTGCTTTAGAGGACCCCAGACATCTCAAACCCTAAAACGCAAAATAAGTGTGTTTGTATCTTTTCTTTTTCTTTTCTGTGTTTTTATCTCTCTCTTTTTTTCTTTTCGAGGTGGAGTGTTGCTTGAGTGCAAGACTAGACTTCAGGCTAGAGTGCAATGGTGTGATCTTAGCTCACTGCAACCTCCGCCTTCTGGGTTCAAGTGATTCTCCTGCCTTAGCCTCTTGAGTAGCTGGGACTATAGGCACCCAACACCATGCCTGGCTAAATCTTTCTATTTTTAGTAGAGACAGGGTTTCACCATGTTGGCCAGGCTGGTCTCGAACTCCTGACCTCAGGTGATCTGCCTGCCTTGGCCTCTCAAAGTGCTGGGATTACAGGCATGAGCCACTGTGCCCAGTGTCTTTTCTGTCTCTTAAGAAAATATTTTGAAAGTCTGGTAATTAATTGAGTGAGTAGACCCTAAATGGAAAGAGATGATGTAGGGCTGACACCCCAGGGGACTGGCAGGTTGGGGAGAAGAAAAAGAATAGCCTGTGCTCTGGGAAACTGGAGATAAAGTTTTGAAATTTGGCCATCCCACACCATCTAAGTGGGATCTTGGTTGATGAGGCTCCTCAATTAACTGCAGTGAGGTAGTCTGGGAGCAGCTTGGAACTGCTTGGAAATCCCAAGTCTGAAAAGTGAGGTATGTGGTGGGAGATCCTATCTACCACAGCTTCCTTGGGAGTCAGTGAGGTCAGTCCGCATCCCTGGTTTAGGCACTGTAGTGGGTTGAATTGTGTCCTCCCAAAAGATATAGTTTGAGTTATAACCCCCAGTACTTGTGAATGTGATCTTATTTGGCAATAGGGTATTTGCAGATGTAATTGAGGACCTCAGAATGAGATCATCTGGATTTAGGGCAGGTCCTAAATCCAATAACTAGTGTCCTTACAAGAGAAAGTAGTGGAAGGTTTGACATCCAGCAACACAGAGTAGCAAGGCAGAGTAGATGGCCATGTGAAGACAGAAGCAGGGACTGGAGTGATGCAGCCACAAGCCAGGAACACCTGGAGTCACCAGAGACTGGAAGGGGCAAGTAAGAAGTCTCCCCTACAGTCTTTGGAGGGAGCATGACCCTGTTGACACCTAGATTTTGAACTCCTGGCCTCCAGAATTGTGAGATAATACATTTTTTGTTGTTATAGCAGCCCTAGGAAACTAGTACAGGTACAATGAAACTTCCATCTTCCCTGTCCCAGCAGATCCCTGCTACCACTCAAGCCTGCAGCCAGCAGTGCAGGTAGGGAGAATGTGGCTACACGGGCCACAGGTGGACCTGCAGGCAGGGCTGTAAGAGCAGATCAGTTGATAAAACTTAGACAGGTGGCATGAGGCCCTCCATTTGTGCTCTTGGCCTAGGCATGTTAGACATGGGCTTGCCTACTTAACTGGTAGCCAGACATGCCCCTTACACACAGAATGAATCAATCTAAGCCAAGAGAACAGACCTATAGATATGGACAGTCCTTGTTCTCTCTATGAAAAGGCCCAGCCAGGTCACCCTCCACTGAAGACTGCCTGTCAACAAGCTTTCCCTGGTACCAATAACTTAACAGTGCTGTACTGTCTCACCTTAGATACAAGTGGACAATCAAACATCACAAGACGTTTGAGACAGGAAAGAGTTCTGCACCCATGATGACAAGAACACTGTGCTTTAAAGAATATAGAAAAACAACCGAAAGCTCTTAGAAATTAAAAATA